CTAAATTTAAGAATTCTAACTCCTCATGATGTTCATTGAGTGTAACAAGTAATTCTCAATCTAAACATAAAAAGATATTGATTTTTCAATCACACCAATTACTAATATTTCAATATAACAAAGATATTTGTTCTTGTATCAATAAAATGAGTGTTATATTACTTACAAATATATTTGTTTAATATGGAAATAAAGAGTTGTAGTTGTTGAAATAACTCAACACAAGAATCACCAATGTAGTCAAAATAAGTATTAACTATCACTTCTCATTTTGAATTCTTTTTGTTTTTGATATACTTTGAAATAATTACATTATTTTCTCAACTTTTCTTTATTAATACTTTCATAAAAATAAAAATATTACAAGAATACTCCTTGTTTATTTGTAGTGGTTGTTAATTTATTTTCTTTTAAAATACCATTGAAATATTCAAACAGAATTACTTTCAAATATTAAAAGAAAATAAAACATGTTTATTAATCTGTAAAATATCATCTTTTTATTAATAATATTCTTATTTTCAAAGAATGATTGATTAAATGATTTATAATATACAACAATTAATTTTTATTTGTTAAGAATGTACCATTGTTAAATGAAGTAAAATCATATAAAGTTATGTTCATATTCCTTTAAAAGTTGAAAGAACACAAAATAGAAGATTGTTTTTTTGTTGAGAAATAAATTTTAATCAGTTTAATGATTAAAACAAAGTTGTTTATTAAATTTTTATTTTATTTGATAAAGACAATGGTGAAACACTTAAATGATTGAATAAGAAAGCATTCTTTAATTGGTTTAATTTCATAATTTAAATTATGTTCAATATAATTCAAAACAACTCTAAATAATAGAGTTTTTATAATATAATATTCAAGAGAAGTGAAAATAACTCCGTTAAATTGAACAGAAAATGATTTAACATGAAATTAAAACACTACTTTTACTTAACAAAACTTAATACATTAAAAACAAGAAACAGTTATTAAAATTAAATTCATTTAAATAAATTTATTGATTTATAAACACAATAACATTAATCATTATAAAATAATTTCAAAATATAATTTCATTATTCTTTTTATGAAGATAATTAATATCTTTTATTGAATAGAAAATCATTTTCAATGATGATAATGATCAAGAATAATTTTGTATTAACAAATTGTTACTCATAATGAAGTAATCTGATTCTAATAAACAATAATATGAGAAAAATAAAATATAAATATAAATTATTTTTTAGATAATTGAATGGTTATTTAATTATCTTCAAAAATTAAATGAATTTATCTTTGTTATTTCTAAATTATTATTCCAATTTTCTTCTTAAACAATAAAAGAATGAAATATCTTTACTTTTACACTCAATAATGGTTATAACACACCACAAATTATTATTGAGAATTTATTTCTAATCTATCAATTTGAGATAATCAATTATTACTCTGAATTCTTTCTAACATTCTTATAACTTCTTCTATTCTTATTCTTTCTTTCGGTTCTTGTTTCCATGTTTTTTCAATAATTTCTTTAATATCTTCTTTAACTTCTTGTATTATTGTTGGTCGTTTACCTGTTGATATGAATTCGGCTATTTTCCATGGAAATTTAAATTCTGTTTTAGGAAATGGATCTTGCCATGTAATGATTTGTAACATTGTTATTGAATATGAATATATATCTGATTCCATTTTATAATGTTCTCGTTTCAACACTTCTGGTGCCATGTAAATAGGTGATCCTATCCCTTTTGTAAATGTCATATTTGTCATCATCATATTAATGTTTCTTGAACTTCCAAAATCTGTTAATTTACAATTAACTCCAATATTATCATCAATTGATACAACAAGAAAATTATCTGGTTTAATGTCTCGATGTAGTATTCCATTTGAATGAAGATATGAAATTCCTTTTGCTCCATCTATCATGAATTTAATTCTTATTTTATTTGGTATTTCTGTGTTTGTTCTTTTATTAATTAAATCTTGTATTGATCCATATTTTGCATATTCTGTTATCATACATATTTTATTAGGAATAAATACTGCTCCATAAAAATGAATAATATATTCACTTCTAAATTTATCTAACATCATTACTTCTTTCTCAAATTCTTTCATTTTATCTTCATCTTTATCAATTTGTTTCATTTTTTTAATTGCTACTTGATTCCCTCTAAATTCTCCTATATATACAATTCCAAATGATCCTTCTCCTATTTTATGTTCTTCTTTTATTTCATCTGGATCAAGTCGTGTTGATATTTGTGTTTCTCCTTTAATTGAAATATTTTTAATTATTTCTTCTTGTGTTTTATTAAGTGTTTTACTAATTATCATTATTTGTTCTTTAATTTTAGTAGTACATTTGATTGTAATAAATATTTCAAATTCACATGCATATCCTCCTTCAATTGTAATAATATTTGGTTTGATTCTAATTGAATATTTTTCATTTTCTTCTTTACTACTTATTTGTATTTTCTTTTTTTCTTTCTTCTCATTTCCAATACATATTAATTCTCTAATTTCTTTATTTACTTCAATTTCTTCTCCTTCTCCTATTTCTATTTCTTTTTTATTTGTTATTATTCCATCTCCAAGTGATATAAATTTGATATTTGATTGTGAAATTTTAAATATTGTTGTTGTTTTCTCTTGTTCTTTCTTTTCTTTGAGTTTTATAATGTAATTAATCATTGTTATTATAATTATAATTATTATAATGATGATAATAAGTATAATGATGATAATTATCATTATCATCCACCATACCATTTCTTTATTACATTTTGTTCCTTCTTCATTGATTCCATACCAAAATGAACATTTTGAACATTTATTATTTTTTGTTTCTTTACATTTATTAATATTTGAATAATGAATACATTCTTTATTTATTATTATATATTCTTCTTCACATTTATTACATTCTTTCTCATTTAAACATGTTATACATTTATTTCCACATTTTGAACATTCTTTATTTATTAAATAATATCCTGTTAAACATTCTCTACATCCATATTCTTTATCTATTTCTCCTTTACATCCTTTAATTGTTGTTGTTGATTTACATATTCCTGTTGAACTCATAAAATATCCTTCTCCACATATTATACATTTATCTTTTTGATTACATGTTAAACATTCTTTTCCACATTTTGAACATCCTTTTCCATTTCTATAATATCCATTCTTACATATTCCACATCCACTTCCATCTGGCAATATTTGTAAACATGTTCCATTTAATTCTTCATTTGATTGACATGTTTTATCATTTCTTAAATATTTATCATTAGAACAACTCATACAATATGTAGATGTTCCATAACATGTTTCACATTTATCATCACATTTTAAACATTTCTTATCTTTTGTTAAATAATATCCTTCTTTACATCTTTTACATCCATATGTATTTTGTTCTTCACAATATTCTATTTTTGTATTAATACATTCTCCCTTCAAATTAGGTGAATATGTATTTAAACATTCAACACATTTTCCATTAACATATGATTTATTTAAACAATATTGAATATTATTATTATTACATTTTCCATTTTGATCTTTTATCATATCTTCTTCACATGTTTTATTTATACATTTATTATTATCTAAATATTCTTCATATTTACATTTTATTTCAATATCATTTGTTTGACATATTTCTGATTTTGTACATTCTATACATTTATTATTATTGATATATTTTCCATTTTCACAATATATTTCTTCATTCTTTCCATTTCGATTTTCTTTATTTGAACATTTTCCATTATTTAATGTATATCTATTTGAACATGATACACATTCATTTCCTTCATAATAACATTGATCTTCTTTATCTCCATTACATTGATTATTTTGTATTTTATATCCATTTGAACATTTTAAACAATAATTTCTTTCTGATTTATTACATTTATTATCATTTTTTTGACATTCTCCTTTTTCTTTAATATATCCTTCTTTACATTGATAACAATATGTTTTATATCCTACAATACAATTATCTGGTAATATTTGACATTCTTTATTTGAATTTAAATAATATCCATATTCACATTCAATACAATGACTTTGTTTATTTATTTTATTACAATGTGAATCAATTTGACATTCTTGTTTTGAATTTAAATAATATCCTTTTTTACATTGGATACATTTAAATTTTTCATTTGATTTACCAGTTAAAACAATACAATTTGATAATTGACCATTTAGTGTTACTGTTTCATCAAATATCATTATATTATTATTACCATTATTATTATTAATATTTATTAATGGTGTTGATGGAGAAGAATTAGTGAAATAATAAACAGAATTATTAACAAAAGAATTACATGTGAGAATACCATTTATAATTAAAGTTAATGGTTTATTTGTTGGATTTAATGAATGTTTTAGTTCATTATTTCCATTTATTTCCAATGTATTTGTAGTTGAATTGTATTTGAATTGTGTCATAACATTCTTTTCTCTATTATTTGTAATTTCAAAGTTATTAAATTGTATCTTTTGAGTATACTCTTTGATTGATGAAACAGGTGCTATTAATAATGTAATATCATCACTAACATTAATTTGTTTAGCTGAACTAAAGTTGTGTAATGTAATATCATGATCAATATTAAGAGTTGTATATTTAATAATATTATTATTAAAATCTACTGTATTTAAATTTTGTTGAATATTAAGAATACATTCAGTTTCACCATTATCATCACATGGACAATGTGGATAATTGAATGGTTTACTACCATTTCCTGAATATGATAAATTATAATTATTACCATTCATTGTACAAGTAACACTTGTATCTAAATCAGTTCCATTTGGACAAAATCTCATTAATCTATTGTTTGATATTAAATATG